ATCATACAACCTGTCTCACATTTGTTGCAAATCATTCATGTTCTCAGCCAAAAACTAAGCACTATCTACATAAAAAAGTATATGTACATTCATACCCCCAAATGACACACTTCTAGTGTTACTACAAGATTCTTTATACATTAAATTCATTAAGCAAACAAGGAGACATCACACACACTTCTTATCTTACTATCTGCTCAGTGTTTAACCTTTCACTAAACATTCCATGTATTCTCACACAGGCTTTACTTCTATCATATATCATTCTTATCACATTCAGCAACAAACATAAAATTCTGTGCAAAGCATTTATAATTCAAGTCTATTTACTTTGTCATTGGCTCTCTCTGAATCAACAAATGTACAATATTTTTCCCCCTAAACATCTCTCAATTATTTGCTGAAGAGCAAAAATTTGGTTTGCACACCTCCTGCGTGGCATAAAGCTGCACTGCACTTCCCAAGCTTTCTGCATTCTCATCTCTTGCACCCTTTCAGTCAGAGTTCTGCTAAGCACTTTTCCTGATGCTATTAAACTAATTGTTTTGTAATTTTTTTTTTTGCATTCAGTCTTGCCACCTTTTCCTTTGTATAGGGAAATAATAAAATTCTTCTAATTGTCAGGCACAGATGCAGGCTTTACACATTAAACATACTTGCTTATCCACAAGCAAACTATACCCATATTTTAACATTTTGCCAGTTACACCATCAACTTTCTTGCAAGATTTATGACTCCCTCTTATCATTTTTTCTTGCACACTAACATTTTAAACATTTATTTCAATTCCATTCTTTAACATATCACTATCACACAACTCTCTTCCAGCATTCCCCCATTCCAGTTTTGTCCCAAATAATTTCACCACTCCTATTTCTTAACTCTATTCACTCTGCTGGAGATTCCTCGTTTAGACCTCTTCACCCCTTCTAAAACTATTTTTAATTTAAAAACTCATGAATCTCACTCTTTATTTTAATTCCTCTTTTAATCTTAACCATTCCTTGCTCTGTTTGACTATATTCTTTACAACAATTTTTTCTTGTATGTATAGAGAATACATTTTACAATCTATTTTTCCCATCCTCATTTTTGCAGCAATCTTTATGTCCGCATCCTATTTGCTCTGATGAGCAATAACCTATAGTCTATTATTTTTTCAGACAGGACTCATACTTTGTTCCCCCTGCAATTGTTCTAGTTTCACATTAATTACTGTTCTTTTTCTTCCCAAGATCTATTCATGACCCTACCAAAAATGGTCTATCCCACATTCCCATGTGTACATATGAATAGACTAATCCAAGTATTTGAAATGGAATCTTTTTCAAAGCAAATATTCATCGAATAGTCACTATTCTCATTCACTCTTTGGTCTACAAATGGCCCAGTCGCTTTTTCTATATACTGTCATCTCATCCTCCCCATTCATGTCTCTAACAGAATAATATTTCCTCCTGAATGTATTTCATTCAGAGCACTGCAGAATGTTTCCAAAACATTATCTTCGATTCTTCTACTGTCATCATTCACTAGAATGTAACATACAACTATCACCACCTATGGATTTCTATCACCATAAGCACCCACAACAATCAAGATGACACCAATTCATACTTTATCCCCTACATTTCAGCTATTTCATTTATAATTACGTCTTCATTTCCTTGCACCAACCCTACTCCATAGAATCAGACCACCTTCACTCAGATCTATTATATCCTTCCCCCTTTTGTTAGGTTGGAAGACACATGGCCTTCTTCCCTCCTTTCTTCTTTTCATATTATTATTTAAACCTTTTACATTCAATTTGCATTCTTCCATATTCCATGGCCATTACCAGGAGTTTCTCTGTAGTGAGATAGATGGTAACAAATTTGATAGATAAATAGATAGATAGATAGATAGATAGATAGATAGATAGATACTGTCTTCCACTATTCATCATGGCTTTTAGTAAGATAGAGAAGATATACTGTAGATTATGTTATCAACCGTAGTCATACCCATGCCATATGTAGCATTCCCTGCTAACTATAAAGAAAATAACTATCAATTTTGGCACATTGCAGCTAATATTTATTTTATTTTTAAGATTTATAAGGCCGCCCAACTCAATAGAATCTTTTTCTAGGCAGCACACAGAATAAAAGTACGCCACAAGTACAATCACAGCTCTGCTTTACTCCAAGCATATTTACACTAATCTATGCAAGCTAGGATTTCTAATCTACTACTTTGCAAGTATTTTGCCCATATCCCACAATCTAAAAGGTATATGCATCATACTGACACATATACAAGGAGACACCTATTGCCTGTATAATTTCTAGATCTTAGGTTTACTAAGAAGTTGATAATGACGTTGAAACTTTCTATACATACTTTTCTTATTCAGCCATTAACACAATCTGGCAGCTAGACTTGAATAGTTTTTAAAAATTATTAGCAAATTCTTAGCTAATTTTGGAATTAGGTTATCACTACTTTTTACCTTTAGGTTATTTATAAAGAAGAAACTTAGGGAAAAAAAAGAAAAAAAGAATAAAGAAGCATATATTCAAAATGCACTGAAAAATACATTATTTCTTAGACTTAGTACATTTTAAATGAGTTTTTTTCTAGAGAAAAATGATTACAGGTTTTTTTCAAGAGTGCAACAAATATGTTACATCCCTATTGTATAATTTCAGTAAGATCTTCTAAAATCTTAAAATTATTCAAATATATGTAGAATTATAAAACTAAAATATCTTTATGATAACATTATTAAAGCTTAATTTATTATCAACATTCAACACAAGTGAAAATAATTTCACCACGCTTGATTGAGAAATTCAAGAACTCAGTGCAGTGTTTGCAACTATGTACTGCCATACATCTGAAATGAAGTGAATTGATAAAAATACAGTAAATGCTAAATTTAAATAAATTTTATATAATAGAACAAATTTCCTCTTTGTGTTAGCTATGTATTTTTAAAAAGTAAACTTTCTGAATAAGCCTAAAATAGTTTTTATATTCTAGATGAAATGACCAGGAATCTCACAGGTTTGTACTTAGGGAAAAGTGGAGTTGTACCTTAACCCTTTTAAATATGTATTAAAATGCCAAGAGTTTTATGAGTTGGGGGTAGTGCTAAGGACTTATAAAAGGCACCATTTCAGATTCTGTCTGGGGGAGTCAAGACTTTGGCAAATCTGAGCAACTTTATCAGCAAAACACTGAGCAAAATAATCACTGCTGCCAGGCAGGAGGTCTTCTGACTCATCCTTCCCTAAAATGAAATTTACTACTCTAAACAAGGCATCCCATTGGCACAATACGGGAGGAGAAATAGGAACACTTTGTCTCCATTATCAATATAATGTAGAGTCAAACTGAGCTCAAATTCATGCTTGATTGAATTCACTTTTGGTCTTCAAACAGCACTCCAGATATTGTTTCTGGTGCATCATCTCCCCAAGCTCTTCAGTAAACTAAGATGCACCCTTTGAACAGAAAAAGGCTTGAGGACAGCTTTATCAAGATCCTAGATTAACTCATGTTACCAAAACTAACTAGGCCATCAACAGAACTGCCTCTCAGTTCATTGGAAAACTTATCCTCCAGAAACTGGATCCATCCATTTCCATTTAGTATGTGGAGCAGAAATGCCCAATAGTTCCAACCCTGTCTAGATTGCAGGTAGCACCTGACCCAAGGTTAACTAGGAAGTGATCTGACCACAGCACCAGGCTAGATCTCCATAATCAAATCATCACACAACTGCTCTGAGGCAAATACAAGGCCAAATATATGACCACCAGTTCATATCAGACCAGCAATTACCTGGGACAAGTCTATGGTTTTGAATACTGAGACTTTCTTGACCCAAGACAAGAAAACTGAAATCATCCAACACCATAAGCTAGGGGATGACAACAGAAGCCTGTATACCAGATAAAAATCAAGAAACCAACTAGGTAGCAGGGTGGCTGATATGTCAGCTTGTGCCTATAGCCCAAATTAACATGCAGGCACTTACCCCCGACAACCTCTCCCATACTGTCTCTGGTTTCAAATATGTTGTCCTGTAAGATCAATGCCATCCCCACCACTGCTGCCAACCTTAAGCTTGTAGCTGCTGTACAACCTAGAACCTGGCTGGGCACATCTCTAAAACGCTTTTCTTGCCCAGCAGGTCTCAGTAATAGACACCAAGTATGTCTGTTGTGAATGATCATAGTCTTGTGTGTGTGTGTGTGTGTGTGTGTATAAAAATATCTCACTGTCCTTAGTAACAGCTTTCAGTCAGCAAAAGCTAACACAATCCCATTCACTTGGCTCTGTTCTATCTCTCAGTGAAACATAAAAGATAACTTCGTTCTCAAATTAATGCTTTCGTCACTTAACATAATTTGACATGGAGGATTTTCACTTTCATTCAAGCAGATATAAGGAGTTTTTGTGTATAGAAATGCTATTTCTAAAATAAGCTTTTCTGCTTTTTTAACAGGCCAACCTACATGAAGGTGAATTGAGGGGACACCAATCTCAGTTTCACATAGCTTCCTCTTTAAGAGAACATTCTGGAATTTCTAGACTACAAACTGCTAGTTTGAACTTGCCTAGCAGTATTAAGCTACTATTTGCTACTGCATATATCTTTAATAAAGTATCAAACCAATACAATTTAAGTTAGAAACTACTACGAAGACAAGGCAAGCAACCAATACAACCTCACCTGTGGCACATTTATACTAAGTTATCATTGCATGTTTAACATTTTATTGTAGATTTTAAATATGCACTGCTTATATATATAGAGAGAGAGAGAGCATAAGTTATTTTCTACTGAGACAAACCATCTGTAGTAATACTCAGTTCTACCCCAACCGTGTGAAATACTGTGCATTTTATTCATAACAGAAATGGTATTTTTTCACGGCAGTGCCAAATAATGCTACTATCCCTTTTCTAAGTTCTGAAAGCCCTATAATCAAATTTTTCTGAATACCTGAAAAAAACCCGGTGGTACAGGACCTACTGGCATGCCATCTCCTGGGGGAATGTTTCCTAGCACTGGACTGGGAGCTGCTGCAGCGCTCTGAAAAGAACAAAGGAAAAATAAACCTTTGTCATTGCACAATAGGCATAAAACCAAAATACTACTTTGACCATAGTGTGGCAAGGCAGAAAGGAGCACCCTCTGCATGACAGTTTTCATTTTTTTTTCTTCCATTTAAAATAACTAGTGCTCATTTTCAAAGTGCAAAAGTGAAACACTTAAATACAAACTTAGGTTTCTTTAATAAATGACTGCCTTACCCTCACAAATGAAAGGGAAACTTGGGGATCATGAACTTCATTTAGTTTAACCAAAGACTTGTAAATTGTGCATTTGTAAAAGGTTCTATTACAACTTAGTCCAATATGCACCTTCTGATCAGGAAATATGTCAGTGAAGCAGCCAATGTTCAAAGCAGGACATTATGGAAGAATTCAGTCAGATACACTAACACAATTCTATAACTGATACTCAGTGTGATACTATAAGAAACAGACTTCTTAAAATTAAATGAAACTTAAATATATAGAGGACTTGGCCTTTAAGGATCAAATTAGATATGATAAATGTTGCAAACAGTTACAGTATGAGATTGGGACCCATATTTACCTAACTTTCTCATTTTACTTGGATGCTAATAACAACCTGGGAGACAGAAATTAAATCAAGAAAAGAGTGCATATCTGTTGAAAAAGGACTATATTTATCCCACACTACTTTTCAAGTCAAAGATGGAAGATCCAAGCATCACTCTCCCACATCACAGCTCTCAGTCCTAAAACAGGGCCTCTGAAACTTGTTTGCACTATGGCTCAAAAAATTTGGGATGATGATGATGATGATGATAATTCAAGATCAGCTGGAAGAATGAAACCTTTTCTAATTGTGGGGGACTCTGCACTGCAACCTAGAATCTCAAGATGACAATTCTTATGATCCCAAGCTGTTGGCTGAGGATGATAGGAATTGAATTCTTCCCTGCTGCTGCTGCTGAAGCCTTGCTTTTGGGGAGGGTGTCTGATGGCTTTACAGTTGGATGCCTGTCTCCAGTGGGCATAATTACCCCTGAGGAGCCAGTGGCTGGGATTTCCATCTCTCTGGGTGAAGTTCCTTCCTGCTAAGTTCCTGCTTGGGAAATCTGGGCCCCTTAATGACAGCTTTGCAGGCAGGGTGGGAAAGGTGAAGGGGATGGGAAATCATTTTAAAGGGAAAGAAGCAAAGGAAGGAGGAAAAGAAACCAATGTAAGGTAGTAGAAATAACCTAAGGATGGTGAAGCACTTCTGGAGATTACCTACTTGTTTTCTAGGGTGTTCTTGCAATCTGGATTCTCTGGTCAGTCCTTCTATTGTATTCAAGTCACGGTGACCCAACAGCCATGGTAACCCTCCTGGAATGGACTGGATCTCAGGATGATCCTTCTAATATGTGGGGACAATTGGGGGGGGGGTCAAAGGGATTGCCTGAAAAAGAGGCTGGATGCCCTTTGCCATGGAAGGAAGATGACTGTCACAGCTTTGAGAGTTCCAAGGTGTTTGAAGAGCCCTGTAACTCATATGGTTGGTGAAAGAGCACCTAGCATTGGGGGAGGAGGCCAATGCTGAGTTGCCAAACCAGGAGTAGAGAAGGAGGTTTCTTCCAATGTGCTAAGTATCTGACTAACGTGGAGACTGACCATGTGGTAGCTTTTGATTAATCTATTTGCTGGTCCTGCTGCCCTGTGCTTGCAACAGCAGTTGTCCATCAATGATGGCAGAAGGAGCCAAGTGAGTATGCTGTTTGTACCAGCAGTTATCCAATGTGGGGAGCTTGGTGACATTCTCTGTTCTCAATTCTGAGAGATCACCCTTGTCTGGGTCTGTACCTCTCCTTCCTGTCAGCCATGTGTCATGTGCGGTGCAGACTCTATTTGCCTTCCCCAGAGGTCAGACCTCTACAGACACTGAGGTTCATTTTTGGCATCCTTTAAAATGTTCTGGCCCCCATAAATGTATGACCCCTCTCAAATTGGCTTGTGGCCTCCAAAGGAGTCATGGCCTACAGCTTAAGAATCTTTATCCTAAGACATTTTCTTTTACAGGGAAGCTAACATGTATTATAATACAACTAAATTTAGATTATCCTGAATTAATGCAAAATAGCAGCTGCAGGAGGAAATAAATTAACATGCTGATGGTTGATTAGATAACAGGGTAAGATGAAGCCTTTATCATAATTTTCTTCCAAAGTATGGAAGTTTGAATATGCCTTAAAATTGAAAATATGCAGAACACTGCTTCTATTTTATGCTTCCTGTACAAAGTTGATCCTTCCTTTTGGCAAATGTATAGCTACTTATATTAAAAGTTATAATATGTTTTGAAATAAAATTGCTCACTAATGAATTGATATTGTGGGTTTATACTTAGAAAATGGAACAAAAGACATTCTATTTTTTAAGTGAAACAGAGATGAAATTCAGTAATTTTTGACACCCCTCAAACTAAGTAGGAAATACAGCTCCTCTATTTCAATAGAGAAGAAACTGCTATTTCTTCCAGCTATTTGAATTACCATTACATCTAAATTTATACATGCCTTCCTAACAGCAGAATATTTTGAAACTGTACGGGGCTGAAAAGATTTCTAGCATCACAATCCTATGAGCTCAGAAGATTTACTTACATCTTTTTAGTGAATTACAATTTCATATCGAATAGAACTGGCCACTGGGTGTCACTTTTGCACCCAATATATAAAGTTTATTTTGAATTAATTGTGTTTTTAGCATAATGCCCAGCTTAAGGAAGCATACTACATAATTTTGAGCATGTAAAACTAAATTTCATTACGGTGACACAAGGTGATGCTCTTGTTTTTCCTAAGACTTCACAAAAATAGGGTTGAAAACAGGAAGCTTAGATTGCACACATTTCTCTGTTTTTCCAGATGAATCCAGTCTGATCACATATTTAACTGCTACATTATAAATCAGAACTAGATCTAAAGTGGTATGAATGTGTGTTTAGTACTAAAAAATCATTTCTCAATGCTCCCTTCTCCTGCAACTAATGTGGATGATTTTGAAGACTTCTTACTTCTATTTCAGATTAACCACACCTGCCTATCACAGTTTACGAAGTTGATGCTTCATCGTAGTTTACTGATAAGGCAATCTTGCATACATCACACATTAACAATTATGATGCAATAGTAACATTTTTCTCAATTTGTTTGTAATCTAGAGATTTAAATTTAACCCTTCACAGTTACGGTTCTAGAAAAGTTGCATAATAACATAAGTACAGAGTTCCAAGTTATATATCCCAAAACTGCCTCATATATATTGTCATTTTTAGTGGTTTCCTACTTCTCAACCTACAGTATTGCAACATTTCTTAATTTTATTATATGAGAAACATTATGTAAAGTACACTACTCAGCAATTTGCATTGTATACAAGAATTGATTTTTTGTAGTTTATTTTCTATGTAAGCTAATGTGACTTATATTAAAAAGTATATAGACTTCATTATAGTACATGAGACAGCAACAAAGCAATGGATCATATCGTTATCTGAGCAGAGTGATCTATAACCGTATACAATATCTAACCTTCAAGAACACAGTTAATTAACTTTATCCACATGTCCACTATACTTTGTAAATAATATAAAAGATAAATCAAACAATGCCATTGTTTAGTCTTGGCTGTTCCTTCTGATATAAAGAAACATATTGTTCTGAAAAATCACTGTCACTCCTTGGCAAGGATCACAAAAGATGACTCTTGGCAACAATCTCATAATTTCTTCATAATGAATAAAGATCCTTCCATATTAGAATGGAGAGATCTGTACAAAAATAAAACAAGCCATAATATTAATAAACCAATAATAAAAGGTTAAGAGGTTCAGTCTTAATTGGTAATGTAGCATGGTTTATGTAACCTTTAGAATACCTCAGTATCGGTCTACTTAGTTACTTCTAACAACTTTCATATGACTGTTTGTGAAACTTGTAATATGTCAAAAAGAGAATGCAACCATTTAATAAATACTTAATATACTAAGGTTTTAGGACAATCATATGCTTCCCAATCACATAGATTTGTTAGCATTTCTAAACAACTGAAGTCTTGGCTATAATTCAAAGCTCTTGGAGAACAAGCTTTCTATACAGCTCTATAAAAAAAAAAAGCAATGAAAATTAAAAAAAGTTTAACATGCATTTTAGGATGAAAGTAAATTCAATACTGAGTATCCAGCAGACAATCTACTATGAAATAGTAGACAAATGACTGTTAATCATTTGCTGGACTCGGAACTACTAAAAGGTTTACATCTAACTGATCATGTCTACATGCATTCCCTGGAAGCCATTTTTAGCCATATTTTTTAATCTACCTTTCAGAACCTAATTTTCAGAGGACTAGCTTTAAAAATGTCGTTTTAAGAGAAGCAGAAAGCAAACTAGAGATATGGATTCATCTTATTCCTCGCTAATCACCATCTCATTCCTACAATGACCTACTGCACTCCCAAAATTATATGAATCTTGAAGATCTGCTTCTTCTAGTTCTCTTTTATACCACCTAACTCTGAAATCCAAATGAACTGAGAGAGGAACATTGATTTGAGACTTGGGAGAAATGGAAGTTCAGAGCTTGAATTCTGCTTGTTTTTCCCTTTAAAATCTGTTCTCTCCCCAGTGGAATCATTCCTAGACACAATTGTCGAAAAGAAAAAGTTTAAATACAGCAGATATCTTACTAGGGTGGGTTTTATCAACCTTGCACTAGGAGAAAAGGAATGTTAACTGTTTTCCAGCCCTCATAAAGATACTTTAAGTTCTACAAATTATTATTTGTTACCACATTCTATAGAGAGACCTGCCAATTCTGAGCATAATAGATTCTTCCAATAGTACAATTATTTGAAAAGTTATATAGACTATGTGTCTGAACTATAATAGGATTCTTCAACAAAGGTAATAATATGATAATTGTTCTGATGGATTAGTTACTATGTTGGCAAAGACAGAACATTTTATAGCTGCAACA